CTTGGTGAGATGTGGGGCTGCAGGGAGGGGCAGGCGTCTGGCGCAGGGGGGTGCAGTTTGTCTTGGAAATGTCACCGCGGTCCGCAAGTTTGGGACAATATTGGGAAATAGGAAGTGATGCCGGGTGGTGGGATACAGCAGCAGGGGTGCGGTGGGGAGGCACATGAGAGCCAGATCCAGGGAAGTGTCCTGTCGGATGTCTGAGTAGATTGGGGAGTGCTAGAAAGGGAGCCTGAGGTCTTGGCAGTGGGGGAGGGATTGCTGTGGTAGTATACAAATAATAATATTAGAGGGACATAATATCGAGAGAGATTTTTCATTGGGGGACAAGGCTTGATCATATTTGGGGAAAGTGCTTTGGCAGAGGGTGAGGTGTGGAGGCAGGGAAGGCATACACATGGTATCAGGATCTGATGTTTATGTACTGCCATCCCTCCTGCTTTCAGGGATGACTCAGTCTGCTACCAGGATAATAGCCCTGGCAGAAGGCTCTTGGGCAGAAGGAGGAGCAGCAGCATCTACTGCTGGTTTTACTTTTACTTTAGTTTGTGTGTAGTGAAGCTTGAGCAGAAATGGGAAGCATTCACTGATTTTTTTTGACTGCTGCTCACCTAATTGCAATCCGTATTTAAGCAGGTGGTAAGGTATGCAGAGGAAACAATGTTTTATGAATGAAGCTGCAGTCTTGCAGCCTTCGTATATCATTTAGTTGTTTAGTATTGACTTGCTTACAGCAGGGAATGTGCAGAAGTTAAACATCAGCTAGGCAGGATAGATGGGCAAAATAATTAAGTTAAAAATCATGTAATAGGGGAACTGTGTAACCACTGAAAATCTCAGTGGTTGCATGTGCTGCAGGCTCTGCAGTATAAATCTTAGCTTTATAGTGCAGAACCCACAGGGAAGCCTTCCTGGGATTAAGGCCTCCAGCCCCTGCAGGCCCAATTCCCTGGGAGGAGGCTTCACTGCCCTACCACAGTGAAGCCACCTCCCTGGGAGGCTGCATGTAACTGACACCCTTAACCAATAAATATCCATTTATCAGTTAAAGTGTCATGTACACTCTAACATCCATAGTTAAAAGGTAGGAATGGAAACTTTGTTTTAGTTCATACCTATACCCCTGTAAAAAGGAGAATTAGTTATTCAATATAAAATTTGTGTAAATCCATAGATATGACTTACAGGAGTGCTGAGCATTGATTCACAGAGAACTCCAAATTAGGGATGTTAAATTTAGTTCAATCAACTAATCGACTAGTCAATGGATTTTCCGTCATCTAGTTGATTAGTCGATAAGAGGGGGAGCCGTAGCAGGATTAGCTCCCAGCCTTGAGAGCTCACCTCGCTGTGTCTCTGCCTTTTAAATGTACAGGCAGTCCCCGAGTTACGCGGATCCAACTTACGTCGGATCCGCAGTTACGAACGGGGATTTTCTCGCCCCGGAGGAGGCGGGCAGCGGGACCAGGCGGCCCGTCGCTCCAGTCCTCCGGGGCGAGAAAAGTTGCTCCCCGTCTCCCTGGTCTGCTGGGGGAGCCAGCAGACCAGGGAGACGGGGAGCAACTTTTCTCGCCCCGGAGGAGGCGGGCAGCGGGACCAGGCGGCCCGTCGCTCCAGTCCTCCGGGGCGAGAAAAGTTGCTCCCCGTCTCCCTGGTCTGCTGGGGGAGCCAGCAGACCAGGGAGACGGGGAGCAACTTTTCTCGCCCCGGAGGAGGCGGGCAGCGGGACCAGGCGGCCCGTCGCTCCAGTCCTCCGGGGCGAGAAAAGTTGCTCCCCGTCTCCCTGGTCTGCTGGGGGAGCCAGCAGACCAGGGAGACGGGGAGCAACTTTTCTCGCCCCGGAGGAGGCGGGCAGCGGGACCAGGCGGCCCGTCGCTCCAGTCCTCCGGGGCGAGAAAAGTTGCTCCCCGTCTCCCTGGTCTGCTGGGGGAGCCAGCAGACCAGGGAGACGTGGCGCAAAGCCCGGGGCCTGTGGTAGAGCAGGTGGGGTGCTGCCGGTTGGTCCCGCAGCACCGCTCCTTGGCGCTACTGGACCAACCCGGCAGCACCCCAGCTGCTCTGCCCCAGGCGTCCCCAAGTCAGCTGCGGCTGAAACTGATCAGCAGCTGATTCCAGGAAGCCCGGGGCAGAGCAACTCTGCCTCGGGCTTCCTGTAGTCAGCCGCTGGTCAGTTTCAGCAGCGGCTGAATCTGGATGCCAGTTCCGACTTACATAGAGATTCAACTTAAGAACAAACCTACAGGCCCTATCTTGTACGTAACCCGGGGACTGCCTGTATTAGCTACTGGCTCCTAATACATTTAAAAGGCTGAAGGGCAGCAGGGGGTGGACCCCTCATGAGCTGGGCCAGCTGATTCCCAGCTTACGTGGGGTCTCCCCCTCTGTGTACCAGCCTTAAATGTAAAAAGGCTGAAGCACAACTGGGGGAACCATTGCAAGCTGGGAATCAGCTGTTCTGGCTTGTGCCTCTCTTCTCCTCCTCCCACCCTTCTGATTTTAAAATGTATGAAGAGCCAGTGGGCGCAGAGGTGCAGTGTCTGGGACTGGGAGCTTTTGCTTATCGAATGGTCGACTAGTCACTTACATTCCTACTCCAAATACATTTAATTGTAGATCAGAAGTAGTTATAACAGTTTGAAGTCCAGGAAGATTTTTGTTGTTGTTGTTCAGGATGTTAATACACAGTCTGAATTCTCAAATTCTGCTAATAAACTGGAAAGCTGCAGTGATTTGTGTTTAAAGCACTAGTCTTGAGATCTAGTCAGTTCCTCCTGCCACAGACTTCCTTTGTGAGCTTGCCTCAGTAAGTTAAGCTAGGAATTTTAAAGCAGCTTATGGGCTTGTCTACACGGGGAAATTTACCAACATAAGGAAACCACTAATAATTAAACTTCTGTAACTCTCCACTTGGACACACTAATTTATAACACTTCCAAACAAACCTAAACTAACATGGTGAAAGGCATTCATTTAAAAATAAATCTAGAAAAAGTAATTCCTATTCCAGAATAAGTGGCCATATGGGCAGCCATATTGGTATAGTTATAATAGTAAAAGTTTCATTGTGGATAAATCCTGAGAATTAGGCGTGTAAAATCCCATTTAATCAGTTAACCAGTGAAACATAATGATTAATTCACTTAAATAAGATGGGAGTGTGGCAGGGCCACCAATTAACTGATTAGCATCACGCAATAAGGATGATAACCATTGACATCCCTACTGAGTATTAGGTGCTTAATTACCACTGAACTGCAGTGAGTCTATACCTAAATCTTTTACACTACTTTGAAATGCCTGCCTTAATATTTTCCTGGCACCTGCTTTCCCCTGCTGTAAAATCTTCACAAAGGTGGAGAGTAAATTCATTAGTATTTGTGATTAACGAGATTAGTTTGAATACCTAGAATGGTGGTCTGCCTTACCCTACATTTACTTTGTAGGGTATCTCATATCATATGGTTTGAATGTTATCTTGGGTGCTAGCCATGACTTTGGAATAGTTTTAATATACTAACGGTCACATTTTACATCCAACTGAAAAAAAATCAAATAGTTTAAGAGAACGTAATGCACACTTTCTGCCTTCCTTTTTTTGTGATTAAAATGTTGTAGAAAAGTAAAGACATTGATGCTCTTTCAACGTTCACATTGTGCTACTGCAGTAAAATGAGTCATCATTCCTCACAGGCATCCAGGCTCACTCGGTCAGCACACAGCAGCAGTTCATGTGTATTTTGGCAATGCTATGCAAAACTTGCAGGGAAGAACTGATTTTTAATCTACAAATGTGACTTTCTAGTCTTTCTGTTTCAAACAAACAAACAAACAAACAAAGCATCTCCTCCTTTTCTCCCTGCCTCTTTTAAAAGGAAAAAAAGATCAACAAAAAAAATTACCTAATAATATAACTTAATTAGAATTCATTTAAACCAGAATTTCATTTTTAGATGGAAGGTTATCAACTTAAAAAAAAAATTATACCCAAAAGATTTTTGCAAGTGGGAGACCTATAGCTGACTTGAATACAATTGATTTTATAATATATACAGGACTTTTCCCAGGAGGCAGTGGAAAACAACTCTAAATTGAAATTAAATGTATTTGAACAATAACTGGGAAGATGTCTAAGTGTTTACCACTCCAGAATAGAGTTAAAGCAATATAGGAAATATGATTAGTGGGTTGTCAGACCTGGTCATTTTCCATTAGTGTGCATTTTGCACCTAGAATTGAGCCAGCTTGTTAAAATATTCATATGAGAGGAAGAAATGTGATATGTGCGAGGTTCATAACACAAGAGGAGGGCATGATCTGATTTCTATGTGGAAAGTTATGTAAAATATATTAGCAAAACATTTTCAAATGTAATTATATGTTCCACATAACAGAAAATTATCAGCTAAGCACTTGGAAAAGCTTGCATTTGTCGCATACACTTATGATGGGTGAAAAGAATTTGAGAAATGTCATGTTCAGTGTTTTGCAATCTATTCAATATTTACTTTATTTTAAGATAATTTACAGACAAAGTGTCATGCATTATAATGCAGTCCTGGAAAGGCCATTGGTTTCTGTTTTCTTGTGCCCCTTTAACTCTGAGTGGGGAGCTGGGCTGCGTGGCATAGCAGGGAAGGAGGTGGGAGTGGGGGGACCAGCAGGGCAGTGAGACTGGTGGCAAGTGGTAGCTGGGGAGGAGGCTGGAGGCTGGCCCAGGGCTGGGGGGGAGCCAGTAGCAGGGGAGCCAGATATGACCTCCCCTGGTCCAGCAAAATCCCTCATCCGGGACCAGTCAGGACCAGAGGGTGCCAGATCAGAGAGATCCAAATGTATTTATTGCTAGAATCCTTTAAATCTCTGTTAGAAAGCTTATATGAAAGCTAAGCATGAATATGTCATATCAAGGTTACTTTCATTCCTATTCTGAAGAAAAAATATGAGTGCCCTACATCTAAAAGAGAACTATTGTGAAATTAGCTCAATGCACTGTATATTGGATGCAAACTAAGGTAAACATTAGATAGTCAGTGGTCATGTGTACAATAATTACTAGTTAGCATTTTATAGAGATACGTATTAATTTGATTTTTTGCCTCTGTTTCTTACATTTAATACAACTTTTAGAAAATATTTACCGATTTAAACACATTATATGTAAGTGAAGTAGCTCTTCTAAACATTGAATGACTAAATACTTTTCTTATGTAAAAGATATATTTACTGTGTATAGATTATGGACACAGGATTACAAAGGACATTCCCAACTTAAAAATTCTGTTTGACAATATTTTTAGAAGGAACAGCAATAATTACTGCAGTGCAAGAGATTACTACATTCCTCCCATTTTATATATTATTTACTTCAATATTTGACAGCTGTTTCTAAAGAATGAGATTAATTGCTTCCCTTTGTAGTAACACGATTTCATTTGCTGATTGGTGTGGGTGTTTCATATCATGATGAGAGGTTAACAGCAGCAAAAAAACTTGGCAGAAATATTGTCTGAGGGGCTCAAATGAGTAAAATACTCATTTTGAGTACATACTGTTACTAACTTCTATTTTGCAATTATCTAGACTTCAAAGTACAATACATTTAATAAAATATTTAACCTCTTGTTAGATATCATAGTCTTCAGGATTCTTCCAATTTATTTCTTTGCATAATGTGAGTAGGAATTTGGAATTAAGGTGAAGTACTGCTTTCACTACAATCAAACGTCTTTGGTGACAGTATTGGCTCATTTAATAATTGCTGTACCTGTTTCTGTTGGAGCCTTGAAAACATATTACTAACTCATGACTGTGTCTGAAAATTTGATTCTGTGCAACAGTGAGAAAATAGTTTCCCATAAAAGTAAAACACACTTGTTTTTCACCAATTTATAAATACGAGGGTTATTTGGTTGTTATTTTTCCCATTTTCCTAATGCTTTGAGTTTTTGAGGCAGCTTAACACTGACTTTATGACATTCTGTTTCCTTCTTGCTAGCAGAGAGTGAAGAAGAGGATGACATTGAAATGGAAGTTGAAGATCAAGATAATAAAGATGCTGAAAAGCCAAATATTAATTTTGACACCAGTCTGCCAACATCACATGTGGTATGTGGTTTTTCTTTGTGCCTTCCACAGCAATATGAGCATCCTTGTGAAGAAGGTTTGATCCAGTTGTATGTAAATGTACAGGCTGTGATTTAAATAAAGATTCTAAATACATACAGTGGTATTCCTACTGTTATCAGGTTACTTACCCTATTATTTCAAATATTGTCCTAGGAATCATTTCTTTTAGTTATAGTAGTAATGAAATAGAGGCCAGAGGAACATATGACTTAACTTGAACTTCTACAAGAAACAAATGGTGGGTATTTAATTTAGCACTGTTCTAGTTGGTGAACTCTACTGTATGCTTAGTTGACCAGAGATTATATCCTAAGAATGGCTGCAGTTGACACCATTATTTTCTGCGTAAAATTGAATGGCTACTTGAAGCCACCACCCTCTCATACTCCCAGACTAAGGTTGAGGCATTCTGACAAAGCACTAAAAGTAAGGGTTCACTGCTGCAACCTCTGGTGTGCCAGTTTTATCTGGAAATAATACTTCATACTTCCAGAAAAAGTATGTCACCCTTTCCGAGTTAATTGAAAAATCTTTAATTTAAATTTTAAGTTTTTACATACTGAAAAGACCAAGCATTTAAAAAAATATAAGCTGAATGGGTGCCAATCCAAAGATAAGAATATGCAAGATTGTTTATTGAAGAGTCAGCAGAACAGCTTGTAAAATATTCTTTTGATATTAAAGTGTTACAGGATTCCTGCACTGTTGTCCTTTATAGATACCTGATGATGCCCTAGTTTCTACTAAACGATGTTTAAAATCATAGCAGTAACACCGTTTACAAATATTATACTTCTCCCTTCCACCTGTTTTACAGCATTACTAGATCCCATGGACGTTTTTGTAACTTAAGTGCAGTTTGCAGGCCAGAGCCCTTATGGAGTGCTTTCTGGTGAGCTGCAGGGAACTAAATGATCACTTGGTGATGGTTCTCATGCTTATTTCTAGCTGCTAAATCATTATATATTTTCCTAATATTACTTTTCCACGTAAGCAATTGGTGGTGTTGCCACAGGAATGTTACATGAGTACTAATGGAAGATGGGTACACGTGATTGTGAATGTTGAGGGATGGTGCCATATTAATATTAAGATATAGTCCACAAAGAACCTATATTCCATTAGAACCATTTTTGTATAATCCATAATTTCTTCATTGTTCAATATTTTTAGAAATTTTGCAATATTATTCTATTGTCATCTCCTCAGGCTATACATTTGGTCTTGCTTTATACCTACAAAGCACCAAACTTATTTACTTTTGAGGGTAATATGCTGCAATGTTTATCTTTTGCTTTGTAGTATTTGGGTTCAGATATGGAAGAGTTTCATGGGAGAACAGTGCATGATGATGACAGCTGTCAAGTTATTCCAGTGTTGCCTCATGTGGTGGTAATGTTGATTCCTGGACAAACCTTGCCTCTTCAGCTTTTTCGCCCTCAAGAGGTTAGCATGGTGCGGAATTTAATTCAGAAAGACAGAACCTTTGCTGTTCTTGCGTACAGGTAAAATACTCAGTAGTTACTGATGCCATGAAGCTTATGTTTATCACTGATTTCCTTGGGCAGAACAGATGGCTGAAATACTTCTGCAGTATATTACATGATTAAGTGGTGTGTTAGAAAACTAAGTATGCCTAATTATAAAAAGACTTAATTTATTTTATAACGTAACAGAAATAATCCCCTTTACAATAAGGAAAAATACATTTTCATTTTTATTTGAATATTTTATTGATTGCATTAAATGTTTCAATGCAGTGCCCCACTTTGCTTAAAATAAAAAGTCTCAGGGTCTGGAACCTAAGGACACAAACCAGAGATTAGCTTCTTATTTTCAGGAACTTTATTTATTTATAGAAGATTTATCTAGCATTGCTCTGGTAATTAACTCAATTTTTGTTTTTTTGACGAATAAAATGAAAATGTACATGTTTCCTTTAAATCGTTGTTCTGGGGTGTGGCTAGGGATGAGAGGTTCAATGTGCAGGCTACCCCAGGGGAGAGAGGAGATCCCCAGCCTCCTCTCGCTGCAACAGCTTGGGACCAGATGAGAAGCACCTCTCTATGGCCACTGTAGTTCCAGTGGGCACAGCTGGGGGGGATGGAGAGCAAGTCTAGGTTAGGCTGGGTGGGAGCCACGGAAGAACCCCCTTTCCCCAGGAGCTTGGGAACAGCTCCAGGTTGGGTGGGAGACACCCCCTCCTCTAGCCCTCGCATGAAGCAGATGTGGTGGAGTGCAGGGGCCACTCTCCCTGCACCAGCACGGAGTTGTCATGGTTGGGGAAGGGATGAAACTTGACACGGATGGAGAAAGGTAAGGAAGGTGCAGCTTCATTTCCCCCCCCCCTCCGCCTCCGCCCCCCGCTGACCCAGAACTGACCAGCTGTGGCAGCTCTGTGCTGAGACTGGCAGACAGAGGTTGCACCCGGCATGCCTGTCCTGAGGCCCTGGACACCCTAAGGCTCCCCTGAGCTCTCTTTCAACATTTGCTTAGTCATGTCCTCAAAATTGACTGTACTTAGTTTGCTGGTTCTGACTCTTTTCTGTTTGGTTTTATGAGAAGCAATCCTATTCCAGGCATGATACCATGTACATTTTTTGTTAGTCTCTAAGGGTGTGTCTAAACTACATGGCTCTGTCGATGGAGCCTTGTAGATTAGGCTGATCGGCAGAGGGAAATGAAGCCACGATTTAAATAATCACGGCTTCATTTAAATTTAAATGGCTGCCGCGCTGAGA